GGGAAGATGCCAACGGTGGGTTGCTGAATACTAAACAGACACTCTGGAAGAGTTTCTAAATAAATAACATTAATTTAGGCCTCGTCAAAGGAGAGCCTGAAATGCTTCTGCCATGGGAAAAGGCCATCATGCCATGCTCCAGATCTGTAGTAATACAGACTCAGCAGTCTAAGACGTGACTTACTTCTGGTCTTCGGGACATAAGCCCCTGACTCTCGAGTTCTTGTTTTCTGCCAAATCATATATGCTCTTTAAACTTCACCTAAACACTGAAGGAAGCATCATACTTGCCTTCCTGAACAGCACTTCCCTTCCCGGTGCCTATCGCAGCCTTTGTTAGCACAGCTTTTGCCTGCCTCTGTATCACAGCACCATTGAGAGGAGTAGGAAATTTCCTTGAGATAGCATTTTGTGAAGGGGTTAAGGATCCACTTCTCAATTAGCCCTCTAATTGGCAGCAGCAGGGGCTGAATTCCCCTTGCAGCAGTAACAAGCCGCTCAGTTCAACTCGTGCCTTTGCCTGCTATTTGTTCCTGCAGGAGTTCACCAGTGAAGATCTATGCAGACCTCGGACCTCTGCACAGCAGGAATCTTTAGAGCAACACGTATTTCTGAAGGCATAAGCTTAGATTATTTTGTGCCATGCTACTTCTTGTGTTAGTGCCCATTTTGGAGTGCACAAACCCACCTGGAATAAACCCAGAAGTACAGCTGAATAACCCCCCTCAAAGAGAAACCAAATCGAACCTTTCTTGATCCAGTGAAAAAGTGAGCACTGGAGTTTGGGGGTTTTCCTCCTTCCTGTTTTGAACTCATTTGTTCTTCCAAATTTGGGCAAGCATCAAAAGCTAAAATATTCAAAACCTCCAGACACTATTATTTCAGTGCATATCATGGGACCTTTAAAGGGAACGAGATCCTGTTGGTTTTAGAGGAGGGGAGAGTCTCCAACTCAACTGACCTTATGTAAACCTAGTATTGATCTAGTTTTAGATGTGTCCTGGAGAGTGGGGACCTTTTCCTTCAGTGATGCATCTGTCTTTTAGGCTTTTGACTTCCACAGCTCACGTCCTTCAAGTTTGGGAATGTGAGACTGAGCATATATGACCCAAGGAACAGGAAAGGGCTGGGTAGCAGCTCTGATAGCTCTCCCCTTCCCCAGCTCTGAGTGCAGTATGTTTCTGTGCTGTTTGCTCAGGCTGGCTTATTTGAAATGTAGTTTCTGCCTGGAACCAAAGCTTTCAGAGCTGATCTTTTGCCTACCTAAAAATTCAAATACAAGCAACCAGATTTGGAAGCCAAAACATAGCCACTTCAGCTGGAAAATCTGGGTTCCAAATGAACGACTTCCCCTTAAGCTGCAGATCAGTGACCCAGGAAAGGCACACACCATCTATTTGTTCAGGCGTGCAGTGCTGCTGGGATGGAGACAACCATTTGGCCAGGGCAGAGCTACTAACCTGAGTTTGGAGGGTTGAGGAGCCCAAGCTTGGAGGCTTGCCCTTTGCACGGTGCTGTCTCAGGCTGCAGCTCCCTTGGGCACATGCTGAACTTCAAGCGGATGCTGAAGCCCTTTTCTGAATTCAGGTCTCAGCAAAGCTGAGTTCGTTAATGCTGGGATCATGGGAGCCCTGCTTTGTTGGAATTCTTCACACTCAATTTACTCTGACAAGGGAGATAAGGTGTAGACCAGGAAGTCTCATTAATGGCACATGAAGTAACATTGATATGTAAGTGTGGAGAGAAGTGAAGCAGTTGGAGCACATGCTGCTGCTTCTCTCTCTCTCTTCCCCTCTTCAGAGCACAACTGCCATGAAGGTCCTGATTCCATGCTCCTTTAGAGATCTTGGGCTCCTTTTTGTCTGCAGACCTGAACTAGAAGCAGCATACATTCCATGTTTCTCGTCTGCAGCAACATTCCACCCCCAAGACACAGCCCCACTTTCTGCAGCAGGCAATTAGGCAGAGAAAAGGGATTTATCCTCCTGATGGTCTGAGGCATCAACAGATGGTGATGTCCACGCTCCTCTCCCTCCACCCTGGAATAGCTCTTACAGAACTTCCTAGGGAAAAGACAGTCTGGCAGGTCTCTGGTCTCCCTTAGCCTTCTGCATTTACTCCTTCTTCCTGCCCCAAGCTTGTTGGATGACCACTTTTTGAGACGAAACTACTGCCTGAGGTTTCCTCATCAGGCTCTGAACATCCACACGAGGTCAAGCAGCAGCAAACACAGAACACATCAGACCCCAGCAAAAGGACACTTCAGCACACACATTAAATAATTAACCCTCACAAAAGCCTGGTGGGGCAGGATTCCCAACCTCACAACAGGGAAAGGCAGAAGCAGAAAGGTTAAGCAATTTGCTCAAGGTCACGGGAGAAGTAATTGTCAGTGCTGGGATTAAGATATAGGAATTTATAGCTGCCGGTCGTGTGTGCGGGCCACTAGATCACGTCCCTGGCACTCCAGAGAGCCAGGCTGCTTATTCTTCCAGTAAAATGCTAAACCAAATGTTCTGACCTTCGCTGGTGTTATCAGACTGAGTGCTTTCTTAGCTCCAGGTTACAGAGGGCAGTGAGGGCTGAGGGCAAGAGGAAGTGACAGCCAGAAGCTGGTGTGAGCAAGGCTTGTGTAAGGGGAGTTTCCTCCCCTCCTTTGAGGAGTGCTTACCATGGGGCTGACTGCCCCACAGTACAGTGAGCCGGCAGGGCTTTGGGGAGTATTTGCTCCATTTCCATTTGCAGACACTGACAAACTGCTTCAGAGATTGCACTGGGGGGTATGGGCAGGTTTATATCGTTCACAGGAAGTCAAGTGCTGCCCGTGAACTTGAGTAGTTACAGAATGTATAAATAAGCCATAATTCACTGAAATATATGCATGGAAATCTTTGGGGAAAGCTGACATGCAAAATTCAGTATTTCCAGCCCACTGGTATTATTATTATTGTTATTATTATGATGTGAATCTGTGGAGCTATGCCTTCAAGGAAACATGCCCATCTACATCCCTTCTTGGAGTCTGCTGCTATTCAACCCCTTCATCCCCCTTCTGCATCAGCCATTGGAAGGCAACACCTTCAAGACGTGACAGTCTGCAGGGCTGCAAGCAGGGTGTCCAGCTCTGCAGGTACAGCAGGCAGTAAGTGGGTGACTGGCCAGGAGAGGAGAGCTCCGTGGATGAAGAGCAGTTAACGCTTAGGACCCATATGAACTCCTGCATAGATGGCCTCCTGAAACAGGGAACAGGCAGCTTCCTCATACTCATCAGAGCAGGGATATGCTGCAAGAAGATGCTGCCCCTGCTTTTTGTGGTGTTTATGGTCAGTAATTCAGCAGGAACCCACACTACTGTACCATACTTGCAATTGCCTCCTGTATGACTTCTCTTCCACACGCCTTCGCCTGGTAGCTCTAGACCTCACACTGCTGCTCTTCACCCCTGTTCACCCATGTTTCACACAAGCACTGCAATATTTGGGAGGCAGGGGCCCTGTTTTTCATAAACAGAGAAATATGCCTCTCTGCACATTTGTAAGACAGGCTATATTATCAGGACATTGTCTAAGATGTTCCGATTTACAAAGGGAAGCAGAAACAGGTTTTCCACTCGTTAACCAGCAACGTATGGCTGTGGTTACTTGTTTGTAAGACAATTAGCCAAGTGACTGCTACCTGAAGAAAACATAACTCTGCATAGCCAGTGCTGAGCAGGGCTTGAGTGGAAATGGTCTCCCATTCTGTCCAAACATGTTTCCAGAGCTGCTGAGCAAGTCTGAGAAGAGCCATGGAGGATCTCAGACTGGGGTCACCTCTATGCAGTTCTGGTTTTATCTGCAGACCTGGACAGATTGCAGTGGTCTTCTGCTCTGCAGAGCCAGGAGGAAGGGCTAGCCTGGGAGCATTGGCTGTCCTTTCAGTAATCAATATCGTGCTGTCTCTGATAATGAACAAGAAACGCAGTGCAAAACATGAGTGCCATAAATCTGTAAATCAGTGGGTATACAGGGTCTCCTGAAAGCAGAAGCAGTAGCATCACTTCCCTTTCCAAGGCTTTACCAGACTGCTCTAGAAGGCTGCAGTTTGAATGCTATAAGAAGGGAAGGAGTGCATGAGAGGCTTTAAATGGAAACAATCCCTGACTTTGTGGAGCATGCAGTAATATCCCCAGGATAGCTTCCCAAGGGGTAAAATGTGTGTGCGCCGAGGTATTGATATGTCCTGATTTTGTGTATGCGTGTGCATACCTATGCAATTAATCTTGGAAAGTTCAGGTTTGACACATGATTGGTTTCTTCCAATCTTGCAGCTCATCTGGGTGAGCAAGTCACTTGACAATCTTGTGCCTCAAAGTCAGGCACTTCATTCAGACTCCGTCACAGCTCAACACTTCTCTCTTTTCACTCGCCTGCCCTAAATACAAGCCCATGTGATTTGCTGATTTACATAATATCTTCTGACAGCCTGGCTCTGAAGACTTCTTGGGTGATTTGCTACTCTCTGCAACACAAAATGGGAGGCAGTAACATCCTAAGAACGAGTGCATCTGTTTCCCTTGGGTTCGGGGACTTGAGCTCTTGGAGCTCTGGTTCCTCTCGAGGTAGCGGGATCAGAAATGATACAGCTGCCATGGAGATGGAGGCAGAAAGCCTCTAAAGGGATCTGGAACTACGTCAAGTGGGTCATGTCTCTGGCTTCCTGTTACACACACCAGAAGGTGCTCTGAGATGCTCCAGACAGTGATAAAACAGCTCTAGTGTCACCCATGTGTGACAGCCAGGAGGGCGATGAGCCAGGAGTTTAACTATGTGATTTCTCTCTCTGAGATAGCATGCAGTGGTGCTCTGCCTCTTGATCAATCTTAGTATTAAAGGAGGAAAGTTTCCTATGGATTATCTTTTCACAGCACCACAAGCCTTTGAAAATCTGGTCCCCATGTATCTTGCCTATGAAGTCAATTAGCTCCTAAAATGACAACGCATTAGGAAAAACCCAGAAGCTGATATAGAAATACCTTGTTTTATTAAGCCTGGCCAATTTTCTGTCAACAAAAATTATGCTTCTGAAGTGATGTGGAACAAGAATCAAACATGAAAGCATACAAGTATCCACTTTTGAGCCCTTGAACAGTTACAAGAAGCCACTTCTTGGTATTTCTGCTACACAGAATGAATTTTCATTACCTGAAGTATCTATTATCTAATGAATAAAAACCCTGCATTATACATTAAAGTGTAGCATGAACAAAAACTCCTGGAAAACATGCATTACCTCATGGTGAATCCTAGTGGCAGGAATGGTATTTTTAGTGACTTCTGTGGCACGGGTGACGTGTCACCACCCATACTATGGAGAAGGCAATCAAACATCATCTTGACTTCTACACAACAGAAGCAATGGATTTCATGAATAAGCATGTGTTGGTCAAAGAACGTGTAATTTTTCCATCAGGATATCATGCTCCACATCCTTGGTGGTGGTTGAGGATTGCAGCTCCCAAATCGTGCGTGGTTTGTGTGCGGTTCAAAACCTATGGCAAATTGGAGTTATAGCCATCAAAAACAGTCCAAAACCACCAAGGCCAGGTCTGCAGATGTCAGGCCACACCTGCTCAGGGAGGAAAAAGTTGTGCATTAATCCAGCTGTAGGCACGAAGACCACAAGGGTTATAGTCTAAAGAACCTCCAAATGCTTGGGACCTGCCTTGATGGCGTTGGTCTTCCCTCTATAGCACTTTGAAGAAGCTTTATGGAAGCTCCAAGGAAAGACATGGACTTGTTGGTGAGGGACCAGAGAAAGGCCACAAAAACGATCAGAGGGCTGGAACAGCTCTGCTCTGGAGACGGGATGACAGAGCTGGGGTTGTTCAACCTGGAGAAGAGAAGGCTCTGGGTAGACCTTGTTGTGGCCTTTCAGTTCTTAAAAGGGGCCTATAAAAAAGATGGGGAGAGACTTTTTAGCAGAGCCTGTTGCAACAGGACGAGGGGTGATGGTTTTAACCTAAAAGAGGGAGATTCAGGCTGGATGTGAGGAAGGAATTCTGTACAATGAGGGTGGTAAAACACTGGCACAGGTTGCCCAGAGAGGCGGTGGATGAACCATCCCTGGAGACATCCCAGGCCAGGCTGGATGTGGTTCTGGGCAACCTGACCTGGTTGAAGATGTCCCTGCTCATTGCAGGGGTTGGACTGGATGATCTCATGGTCCTTTCTAACCCAAACCATTCTATGGTTCTATGATTCAACGGCAACACCAAGAACAAGCACAAAGGCTGAGAAGGGTGCAGCTCCAACAGAAAGAGGAGTGCCTGGGTTGTGGCTGGGTCAAGTGGTTAAAAGCCCTCAGGTAACAGATGTGCAGGGAGCATTAGCACTGTGCTCTGAGGAGGCCGGAGGGACCATAAAGAAGAGCAAACCATCGCTTACAGAAGCCGAACAAGAGGCTGAATCTGCTGTGTTAACAAGTCCATAAAGCTGTACTGGAGCACTACTCAGGAGCAGCAGTTTGGCAGAGGGCCTGTGGCTGTGGCAATAATTGATATTTTCAGTTAGGTGGCCAGAACCATAAAAAAAGCAGAAAAAAAAATAAAAAATCAGTCTGAGTGGTCCAAAACCATACCCCCCACCCCCCCCCCTCTTTTTTCAGCAAGGAAAAAAATAAACTTTCTTGAGCCAAAGAAACATTTTCTTCAACCCAAAACATTTTGTTTCCCCACATCTTTCATCAGAGGAAAAGAAAAGGGCAATGCAGTGCTGGTTTCCCTTCTGGGCTCAGGGGTTACTCTCGATACAGAAGAGGATGCAGATGGTCAAAGGAATGTTTCTCTCCTCCAAAGCCCTGCAATATGGGTGGGGGGTCCTGAACCACCCCTACAGTGAGAGAAATAAGATGGAGAAGCATGAAAAGCCCCATTCACGCTGTCTACAGGATGCTGTAGGCTCTCCAAGGAGATGCACAAGGGAACAAGGTGAGTACCACTACGGAGAGATGATCTAGGGCATGGGCATCCTTGGGTGCCTGATTTTGGAGCCAGGACGGGGTTGAAACCACATGAAGGAAAGCCTGGGCAGGAGGTTCAGGCATGGGTTATTTCTTGTGCAAGAAGCTTGGAACAAAGTCAGGCTTCAGAGAGGCAGGTGGGAAATGTGGGGTTATGCTATGGGATGGAGCGGACCCAAGATGAACTAAACCACACTAAACAGATGGACTGGGCAGAGATGCCTGGCTTCCTGCTGATCTTTTCGCAGGGGGCTGTGAATTAGTTTTGGGTGACAGTGAAAGGGGAAGCCTCAGACAAGAAAAAAGGAGTGAGACTGAAAGGGGTAAATATTCATCAGCTCAGACAAGGAGAGAATAATTGGGTGCTTATGCAGCAAGGGGCAGGTTTTGGTTCAAATATTCACTATCTTTTGCTCTGCATATTCCAGTGTCTTTAACCTGAGTGAAAGAATTTTGACAGAAAAGAGAGTTGATATCCCAAAATACCCTAAAGCTCAACCAAAACAAAACCCTTCCAAACCAAAAAGTCAGATGGAGAAGGCACTGGAGCTCAGCACTCCCTAGCCCAAGTGTGTGTGCTCACACTTGGACAGTGAGTATGTATACAAGGATGCAATGAGGGGAGGGGGAAGGAGATAAAAGGGGTTTTCTTTATCAGTAACTCCTCCAGTTTTCAAAGACTCTCTTAAATCACAGAAACTGCAAAGGTAAAATCTCTGGGTTGAAGCAGCTCTGCCTCAGCAGCTCTGCTGCTCAGTCCATTGAATGCGTCCTCCTCGAGACTAGTAGCAAAGTAGACTTCAACTGACCATCTCAGGCAAGTAGAATACAGACCCTATCCCCCTACACCAAAGCGTAATACCCAGCTTTAAACCATGAATTTAAACCATGTGAAGGAAAAAGCACAACCCAAGTCTTGATTTAAACACCGTAACTGTGGCTACCTGCCCCTCTAGTCAAGGCTGTGTCCTATTGCACTCCCTCCCCTATGCCCTGGTAGCACACAGCAGCCACCGAGGATGTGAGTGACAATCACACAGTCAGAAACAGGGCCTGGAATTAAACAAAGCCCCGTTCCTCCTCCTCACACCAAATCCAGGCAATTCAGATGACCATAAATGACTCTTTCATAGGGAATGCTGAAAACACTCGCCAGCAAGTACGGTTCTGTACATTATGATATGGTTTTAAACAGCTTAAAAATGTTTTTTTTTTAGGGTAAAAGCAAACACAAATAAGCTCTTGGCTACATCCTCCTCAAATCCAGGTCCACACAACACACAATTAGGAGCAATATATAACACTTCTGTGATTTTGCCCACAGTGTAGGGAAGAACACAGGGACCTCATCCCAGCCTGAATGAGGTACGGTGACACCATCTCATTTCCCAAGCCAGCCTAAGCAAACCCTAGATAGGTAGCAAAATATATCTTAAATATATATCTTAAGTATATCTTAAGTTAGGGTCCCCCCCTAATTGAACCCAGACATGAGAAACAGGAATTGGGTCCCATGAGTTCTGTGATGATCTGGTATCACAAGCTGGGGCACCACTTACACCACTTACTCAAGAAGCTGCTTCCTTCTTACCCCACCTGTAGTGTCATGGAAATCCTCCTCCAGACTCCCAGTACTCCTCTTCTGCTCCCATGGTCTGCTCCGAAGAGCAAAAGCATGCACAGACGCCCCCCTGTTTGCATGCCATGATCCTGCCTTTCCCAGTGTGACAATTAAAAAGGCAAGTCCTGGTTTTCAAGGAAACACCAACTTGAGAAGTACCCAATTAAAAATAAATATAGCTGGTTATTTCCTGTCTCCTGCTCAGATCAGTCTGCAAGCGAAACGCTATGCAAGCACAAGAAGTTGTGATGTGACTCACAGCCTCCAGCTATTCTGACTTCACTGGATGCCTTACAAGCATCTATTGTTCCTGGAGATAGCCTGAGACGTGCTTCCCAGAGAGATTATTATATATTCTTGCTATGAGATGGAAAAAGAAAAAGCTCTGATACTGTGTCATGTCATTTCTTTAGTGGAATCTCGTATGCAATATGCTGTAGAAGTGTGAGAGAAGAAAACAAAGCTGTTATGTGACTAGTGGTGAGGAACCACTTACACTGTGGGCCCAGGAGTCTGTATTTTACTCGTGGCTGACTCTGATTCCACCTTTGTGCTCCGTGACGACTCTGAGTACCTTTAACCTCTGCCCTTCAAAGCAGTGAAGTTTTCTGTTTGGTTGCAAAAGCTTTTTGGCAATGACTAGAAGAGAAATCCTCACAAGAGCTGCTCTTGCATGCACCCATGGGGCTGACTCCATCTCCATCGCTAGAGCTGCTCCTGCAAAGGGTTGGTGCCTTGCTGTCACTGCATGCTTTAGCAAACCCCTGCAGGGCTGGCAGAAGCTCTCCTGCAGATCACACAAAGCCCTGGAATCACACAGGAACATGAAATGGGAGAAGCAGTGATGTGAAGACCTCAGGGGACAGGATCCTCATGGCTGTTCCAAACCTGGAGCAGTGGTGGGAGCTGCCGTGGGTGACAGGGGCCAGTTCTTGAACCACATCCATAGGGCAGCTGTGGGACACAGGCTCTCAGAAAGCTGCTTCTGGAAATTCCTTGTGCATGAACAAACACGTGAGACACAAACAACATCTGGGGCATCCTGCACAGGGGCTGCCCATTCTCACCATCCCGATCCATACTGCTCCAAAAGAGCTTCCAAAACCCAGGGCACAAGAACTGCCTCAAAGATGAACCAATTGCTCTTGCATGAACCACCCGAGTTTTGAGGTTGAGGGCAGGGTGTCCCTCACTGCTTCAAAGCACTTCATCCAGAATACCTTGAAAATCCCTTATGGTCACTGCAGACTGATCTGTATCGCTAAGGAGACATTATGAGCTTCCATAACTTCTTTTCTAGGACAAAAAAAGCCTTTGTCTTACAGCATCCCTGTGAGACCAGCAGAGATTATAATCTGTATTGAAATCAGAATAGGCAGGGAGAGGACATGGGCCTCTTCAGAATTCACATCCACGTGCTAATAAGGAGAGACACAAATAAGCTTCACCTATTTAACATCAAGATTTAGGACCATGACCATGCTCTGTCATAATGCAACATGAATTTTTGCATGAGATCCAGTGACAGGAAAGGTGGAAGGAGAATGACCTGGATTTCTTGTCAACTAAAGCCCCCTTCTGCTTTGAGGCCGCTCTGGAGATGAAGAAGGGCATGAATATTCATAAATACTTTAAATTGAGATTCTCCTGATTCTATAAGCCACGTAGAGGAGCTTATAGCCTGCCATGCTGGAACTGAGGGTTATCAGCTCGTGGGTAGTCAAGGGTCCTCGGAGCCACAGGAGTAAGAGCTAGAGCTGAGCAAATCATTTGCAACTAATATTTTTTTCATGAATTTCACCTTTGTCTGAGACTTCTCTAGGAGCAGATTACAACTTGCTCTAATTTATTCATTATTTATGTTCAATAGCCATGTCAGCAAATAGCTTCCTCTCTGCAGAGTAGCCCATTATAAGTTATAACAATGCAATAGGTGCCATAGCCATCTATTTCCCTTTCTATTCCCTGGTAAGGGGACTTAGGTACCAAAGCAGCACAGTGCAGATTTCACAAGAACAGAAACTATTTGGAGCTCAGTGATGGTCAGCACATGAGCATCTTTGTTTAAAATTCACTCAGCTGCCCTCATGCTCGTGGAGCTTGAACATACAAATAAACGCAGAAGTCAAACACAGAAACTGAACTCGATCTAGTCAAGAGTCACTTTCAAATTGAGATGATTACATACGACTTCCTACTCACTCTGACAGGTAGCAAGGAAGTACTACATATAGCAGCTTCAGGTCCAGAGGGGCCTCATGAACCTTTCCCCCCTCTTTTTTTTCCAGCTGCACAATCGAAGGATCTCCAAAATCCAGTTCAGCAGAAACTATGATGTTGTCAGTCACCTAAAATCATCCTCTTTTGTCAATTTATTTCAGTATGAAAGTAGACACTGGCTCAATAGCAAAGTCCCCTTTCTCACCTCTGCCCTCTGCCTGGTCCCCTTGCTGAGGTGGGGCTAGAAAACACAAGCAGACATGAAACCAGGCAGGGTTGAGTTTCATAGGGAACACATTGCTCAGCCAGCCCCACGCATGGCTAGGCATTATGAAAGCTTAATCCCTTGCCAAATTCCCAGGAATGATCGGTCTCTAGGTCCTTTCACACTTGAGTTGCAGACCATGCCTCAAGCACACCTGCGCTGGCATTGACAGTTGTTGGGCTTTCCATGCCACTCACAAAGGACATGAGTCTCTCCAGGCACATCACCAAGCCATGGCTTGTCCACCTGAAAGTCAGTCCCTGGTTTACCTACCGAAACCACACTGTCTATTGTGCAGATGGATGTGACCGGCATCGTGGTATGCCCAAGTGTGTGTCTGAATGCTGAAAGAGCACTTGGGAAATCTGTGGCATTCCAAATAGATGTAGTATATACACCACACTCTTTGGTAGCAGCAGACCACGTGTGTCCCAGTATCTTCCTTTATATTCCCTGTAACTGTTCTACAGGGAATATACTGTACGCTGTACTACACTGCACTTCTATGTAGTGTGGACAAACAATCCCCATCTTGATGATGCTGTCTACCCAATCTCAAGGTAATTAGACAGTGTGTGTATCCTTACAGCACCAGGGCCACACTGAGGTTTGCTGCATCTAGAAAAGCTGAATCTTACCCTAAAATGCAAATTATTATGCAGCATATTGCAAACTTGCCGCAAAGAACTCTTGTAGGAGAAGCATTTACTGCTCCTGGTTATCTGTAACTTGGTCAAACCTTGCTCTGCTTTGAGATCTTAAGGCAGAAGGTAGCAAACAAAACCACACAGTGGTCTCCAGCATGGCCCAACGCCTGCAGAATCATAACCAAAGGACATTGCTGTAGAATAATGTAATTTCATAGATGGATTCATCTCCTTTGTGCTTTAGTGTGAAACATAACAACTGCTGACCGGGGGCCAGATCTTGCGCACCTGAAACGGGTGAGTCGTCCCCATTGATTTCAACCTGTCAATGTATGCTCTTCCACCTCCTCCTATAGTATGCATCAGCACACGTGCTCCAAGCATGTTTGCTGGGGGAGGCTGAAGATGGGAAGCACGACAGAGCTGTCTGCACACACCGCTCTGGGGAGGAACTGTTGGAGTGGAGATGTCAAAAAGTGATGAGCCTTAAAAATAGCTTTATCTCACGCTCCACTACAAGCTTGGGCTCTTGCACCCAAACACCAGCACAATGGAGATGCTTTCATCATGTTCTACATGACAAAAGTCTTTGCTGCCATGAGCACTGTCAAAGCTCCCTCTGTGCTTAAGAAAAAGGCATTACAAAACTTCTAGTGTTGAGTTGTTTGGGTTCATTCACCCACTCCCCTGCGCTTGTGGCCCTTTGAATTCCCTTTCCACCAGGACATTCGGGCTTGATATTCCCAAAATAGCTGTTGGCAGGAAACGTTGAGAGTTCTCAGCCTGAGAAATAACAGGGCCATCTGTTGATGTGACTCACTGAGGGTGGGGGCTTCAATCCCTGTGTTGCTGAAGAGGAGGAGGGAGAGACGGGAGGAGAGCAAGCGCCTCTCGCAGCAGCATCCCGTGGGGTTTGCAGCAGCGCTCGTGAGGGTGGAGGTGGCTGCAAACCCTCACAAGTCACTCAGAAGCACGGTGAGAGATGTGTTGGCTGCGAGCTGGTTATCAGCAGAAAGCCCTCAGCACCTCCTGAGCAGAAAGAGCTAACTAGAGACAAACGGAGCAGTAGCTGAGATCAGCTTGTGCTTGGCTGTGCTGGGGACCTGCTCCAGTGCCCACTGAGACTGTCCGGGGCTTTACCACGCTTTGGAGCAAGCCTCAGTTGTTCATTTATTTCTTTTGCTTTGGAAAATAACCAATGGCACCTGATCTTTACCCATCAGCAAACCTGCTTTGCCCGTTTGCTCTTGGGATTCAATACTCGTCTGTCCTACAAGGTTTCTGCCCAAGCATCTCTTTCCTTGACTTGGTTTCACCTCCGCCCACCTGGGCCATCCCACTAAAGTGTCTGTTCTTGCTTCTGAAGGCTTCCAAGGTTGTGCAACCTGGAAGTTGTGCTGTGGTTGTACCACACAGAGAGATGAAATGGAAAGTCCTCTAAGCTTTTACATTGCAAGATGCAATTACATCTTGCTAGGAAAGAAACCTCTCCTTCCTCGGTCATTATTTACAAGGTGCTGTGACACTCCAATACAACATACCTGGAAAAGACTAACCTTACGGGTGTGTGCTGTAACCCAGCACAAGCCATTCCCAGCTGTTGCCTTGGTCTGGTTTCACTCCTTGCAAACACCTCCTGCATTTCTGAGCGTAGCAGTCGCCTTCTCATGCACCCTGTTGCCGTATTAAAACCAGACACGGGTCAGATATGACAATGGATAACACGATGCATTCCCTTTCCTAGGCTTAGCAAGAAGAGCTCAGTTGCCTGCCAGAGCTGAATTAATAGGAGGGGAGACAGTCAGATCAGCAGAGGAAGAAACAAACTGTCTCTGACTTGCTGGGTGTCTGATAATGGAAATTTCCAGCTTCATGAGGTATGTTGAAGCTGAGGGACATCACACTAAGCTCCAGAGGAAAGAGCATGAGAGGTACACAGACACCTCAGCAAGAAACACAAAGTGCATTTGTACTCATCACTGACTTGGTAATGTGTATCTTGGTTTAAAATGTGAGCCCCAAGACCATGCCTGGCTGTATCTCCCTTGCCTGTACCTCGTTGGATGGTGGGAATACATTTAGAGCACAGCACTGGACTCCCAGGTGCTCTCCTCTGCCTTGCTTTCTCTTCTTAGGGTATAAGGTCTCTCCAGATGAGTGAGTAGCAAGGATCCTGCTAACTCTATGTACATCTTAATGATCACTCAGAATGGTAATTAGGTGCACATACATTGCAGGAAATGAACTTTGTTAATTAGAGAAGGATGTTAGACGTGAGCAGTGCTGTTTTCCATGGAAACCTTCCCATTTATATATAACAGAAGTTTAGTTATGAAAAGTATATCAGATTCAAGAAGGAGTATGTGCTTGCACTATACCATAGAATAACAGAATTAACTGGGTTGGGAAAGCCCTTCAAGCTCACCCAGTCCAACCGTTCCCAGCACTCCAAGGCCACCACTAACCCATGGCACTGAGGCCTCGTCTCCACGCTGTGTGAACACTTGCAGGGACGGTGACTCCAGCCCTGCCCTGGGCAGCCTGTTCCAGTGCCTGAGCACCCTCTGGGGAAGGAATTGTTCCTCAGCTCCATCTAAACCTGCCCTGGTGCAGCTTGAGGCCGTTTCCTCTTGTCCTGTCCCTTGTTCCTTGGGAGCAGAGACCGACCCCACCTCACTACAACCTCCTGTCAGGCAGTTGTAGGCAGCGATCAGGTCCCCCCTGAGCCTTCTCTTCTCCACACTGAACCCCCCAGGTCCCTCAGCCCTTCCCCATCACACTTGTGCTCCAGGCCCTGCACCAGCTCCGTTGCCCTTCTCTGTTTCTCAGAGTAATCTGGGAATATCATTGACATGGGAAGTGACAAGAGTATCAGTGACAAAGGGAAATTAACCTTGAGCTGGTGAGAACCACAGAAGGAAATACATTTTCCGCTCTAATGGTCTTTGCTGAGTCAAATACCTAAGCCAGAGGGTTTGTTGTCCTGCGCCATTTGTTGCCACAGGTGCTAAAATACAGCCAGAGCCAAATCCATCATGTCTCTCATGTTTGGTGACTGCCATTCCACCAGTATGTGGGGGTACCTTCTCCCCAGCGTGGAGACGAAGAACTACTACATCTATTCAACCCATGTGCCAGAGAAGACAGCTCTTACTGCCCTAAATACTAAAGGATTGTGAGATTTAGAGAGGAATAACAGGAGTAAAAACTACTC